TTACTCACAAATCGAGTCAGAGTTCTAAATCTTTCTCTCTCTTTTTTTTTTTTTTTTTCTATTCCATTAAAACTGAAGCTGAGCGCAGAGGATCAAGGACGTGCAATGGCGAGATTGCCTTTCACGCGATATCGCAAGAAAATTGTATCTTTCTCGTTGAATCGGTGAGCCTCTGTTACGTAATATCGGACTCGAATTAGAAATTAACTTTGTTCTATACGAGATAACTTTTGTTCGACAAGATTGATTCGTGGGTCTGTCGTCATTGCATCCACGTCCGTTTTTATTTCTTCCACAGTTCGTGTCTGATTTTTCGTCACATTGTCTTTGATTTATTCTTATTATTCCGCAGCGAAGACACGAAGCTTTGTGTTGTTTCTGCAACTTCATTCGGTCCAAATCAAGTTTCGTTCAGATTAATTGTCAGATTCGTTGAATTCAAGTCGTATACGAACGACTACAACGAAATTTTAAAATCTCGCTTGGAGCTTGGAGCTTGAACTTAGCTGAAATTAAATTAAAATCAAATAACTGAAGGATAGAACGAATGTAAAAAAAAAAAACTTGAAGATTTATTTCATATTTACGTTCGACGATTACAAAGTGAATTTAAATAACTTGACTGTTCTAAACGATGCTTGAACGTTCGCCTGTCAAACGTACGAAGACAGTTCATTATGGAGTATGAAAGATCGCCTACATATCCAACTACACGATGATCCAATGAGGGAAAAGCTTGTAAATAAATCGTTTCGAAATTTATGACTGCGTCAATCATAACTTCGAACGCATCGAATTCATGTCGTCTTGATTTACGACGTTCTTCCTCTTCGATCATCTCGTCTCGGTTGCAATGGTTGTAAATAAATTTCCTACAGTTCTTCCTTTCGAAATTGCTTGTCGTGCGATTCATTCACATTTCCACAATCAAGCGTGCATATTTTTAATTATTATCTCCTGTTTCGGCCTCCTTTCGTCGTCTTATCCCAATTTTACCAATCGTGAGTTTTCTTTCAATTCTTTTTTTTTTTTTTTTTTTTT